TGATTGATTGTAGAGATGAGGTCTCGCCAAGTTGCCCGGGCTGGTCTCGAAACCATGGGCTCAGGCAGTCCTCTCGCCTGGGCCTCCCAAAATGCTGGAATGACAGGTGTGAGCCACCACGCCTGGCCTGCACCCTGATTGTCTTCTCCTGGCATCGAAGGCTGTGACTTGCTAGTGTGAGTTTCGTGGGAGAGGGGGTTATAAACAGCCCCACAGGGAGGAAAGAAAGGCGTGACACCCAACTTCTGAATGGGGGCACATGTTAAGATGCGGGTTCTTTTCCTTTTTTTTTTTTTCATAGAGATGAGGTCTTACTGTGTTGCCCAGGCTGGTCTCGAACTCCTGGGCTCAAGCGATCCTCCCGCCTCAGCCTCCCAAAGTTGCTGGGATTACTGGTGTGAACCATGTTGTCCGGCAAGGGTGTGATCTCTCCCTCCCTCCTCCCGCTCCTGGAGCTACACACCTGGGCTCTGGCTTGGTTTGCAGTGTCAGGTCCACGCAGTGACTGCCGGGTCTGCTCTCTGCCCACAGGCGGCCTGCCTAAGGCGGAGTTGAGACTGGGGTTACAAGCGTGCCTAGATGCAGAGTCCATCAGGCTGTAAGAGGTGAAGGTGGCCACCTGGGTCACGAGAGTGGGCGCCCAAGTTACATGATGTTTTGATGTCTCTGGTCACTACCTGCTGGCCCCGACCCTAAAGTGAAGCTTAGACTGGGGCTGTTCAAGCTGTTGTCTTCCCTGCGCTGCATGGAGTGAAGAGGAATTGTCTTGGTACACAGACATTACATAATATAGTTAATATATATACATGATAAGACTTTTATATATGTTTATTTACATTTATATTTTATTTCTTGCTCTTTAACAGTATAGTGCATATTTTTAATGCTTCTTAAATTACATTTAATGCATTTACATACACTGTTTTATTTTTTGATTTTTTTAAAAGTAGAAATGAGGTCTTTTTTTTTTTTTTTTTTTTTTAGTTGGAATCTCACTCCATTGCCCAGACTGGAGTGCAGTGGCACACTCAAAGCCACCCCAGCGTCGACCTGCTGGGCTCAGGCGATCCTTCCACCTCAGCCTTCCAAGTAGCTGGAACTACAGGCACGTGCCACCATGACCGGCTAATTTTTTGATTGATTGTAGAGATGAGGTCTCTCCAAGTTGCCCGAGCTGGTCTCGAACACATGGGCTCAGGCAATCCCCTTACCTCGGCCTCCCAAAGTGCTGGGATTACAGGCTTGAGCCACCACGCCCGGTCAAAATGAGGTCTTACTGTGTTGCTCAGGCTGGTCCCAAACTCCTGGACTCAAATGATCCTCTCACCTCGGCCTCTCAAACCGCTAAGATTACAAGCATGAGCCACCGTGCCCAGCCTTCTTCTATTTTTTTATTATAAAGTTTAGAAAAATGGGGACAATGTAAAACTAGTGGGAAATCTGACCTTGTTTTTGTAAAACGAATCTATCTGTGTCTGGCTCCATGGGAGTGGTGGCGATTCTCAGTGAGTTTGCAAGGTGCTCGTCATAAACGTTTGTCTGAATCTTGCTCTCTGTGGGTTTCGTCAATGAAAGCAGCTGCTCACAGATGTATGTGTTGCCCAAAAGCAATGTCGTAAATAAGGCGTGACCGTGAACTTCAACAGTGGAATTACGCCCGGGGTCACGAAGAAAACACACACTAAAAAGCCCATGATGTGACACGATCTTGGGGGGGCCACGGGACTTGCTGGCCTGGGCTGCGTGTGGGTCGTGGGTTGGACATGCGTGTCTTGGCCTTAAGGAGAGTAAGGAGAGAGCTCCTGGCCGGACAGCCTGGCGTCTTTGTGGCACTGCGGGGAGAGTCTCGTGCTCTCCTGCTGGGCCTGGCCCTCCGCGCAGGTGGCCCTTTCCACCCAGCGACAAGGCAATTGATGGACATGTTCTGGGTGGCTATGCCATGTGGGCTCCATCAGCTGGCTGATCAAGAGCCGTGGGCCGAGCCTGGAATGGATCCTGGACTGGAAGGCCAACGAGAAGAGACGCAGGTTGATCTGCTCACGGCAGTCAGTGACAGAAACATGAATGGGTGGGGCTTCCCTTTTTTTACATTTTAATTTTATTTTTTAATTCATTAATTTTTTTTTTTTTAGAGATGAGGGCTCGCCTTGTTGCCCAGGCTGGTCTCGAACCCCTGGGCTCAGAGAGTCCTCCCGCCTCGGCTTCTCAAAGTGCTGGGATGGATTGCAGGCATGAACCACCGTGCCTAGCCTTATTTTTTTTTTTTAATTTTATTTTATACTTGTTTAAAGATAGGGTCTCACTGTTGCCCAGGCTGGTCTCAAACTCCTGGCCTCAAGGATCCTCCCATCTCGGCCTCCCAAAACACAGGGATTACAGGGATAAGCCACTGCACCCAGCCTGTACTTGATAATGTACTCAGTTGGGCTCCTAATACCCCCGATACCCCCAACGTAAGTTCTATGGCAGCAGAATCTTTGTTTCCTAGTAAAAATGTACCCAGCATGTAGTAGGTCCTCAATAAACAGTGTCAAATGAATGAGTCAGTGTGCACAGTAGCCTGGACAACAGCGTGAGACCCCCAACTAAAAACAACGACCAAAAAAGAAGTGACAAGACAGTGGGAAGATCAACGCGGGGGAGCGAATGGTGGGTTGGGCTGGGTGCAGCGAGGCTTGTCGTGTAGACTCCTCTGGTGCCATCTCCGGGCTGGTAAGGGTCTAGGGTTATCGTCTGTCTTTTTTGGTGGAGAGGGAAGCAGGGATACCTTTACACATGCATGCCCTGCTTTTAGGAAACCGGACGGAGGGCGGAGAGAGCCTTTGGGATCCGCTTCTCAGTCATCCTTACACCCACATTGTATATTTGGGGGTGACGTATTCTGAGTCCCTTCACCATCTTGAGTGTATGTTCCCAGGGCAATACCCTCGAGAACGTGGCCTCTGAGAGTCCTGTGGTCTCTGAAGGGGTAGACAGTTCATGGCAGGGAATTTCCAGGCTGGGTTCAGGCTGGCAACAGGGCTGTGGGGTCCGGGTTGGGTCCTGCTGGGTCCCCGCCCCCGAGAGGGTTGCTTAAGCCACTCCTGGGGGGTTTTAGCAGCAGGCATGGGTGATGTGAGGGCTCCTCCTGGCTCTGCCTTTTTCATTCTCAGTGTGACAAAGTGGGAGAAACAGGCTGTGTGTTCCAGATGCACAGGGCCACCCTGCAGAAAGGACTTCATTTATTTTCTTTTCTCTTCTCTTCTCTTTCTTTCTCTCCCTCCCTCCCTTTCTTTCCTCCCTCCCTCCCTCCCTCCTTACTTCCTTCCTCTCTTTCTTCCTTCCTTTGGTCCAGGGTCTCATTCATGGATCACCTGCTGGGCTCAGTTGATCCGCTTGCCTCAGCCTCTGAGTAGCTGGGACTACAGGTGTGCACCACTATGCCTGGCTAATTCTTAACATATTTTTGTTGTTGTTGTAGAGAGGAGGTCTTGTCCTGTTGCCCAGGCTGGTCTCAAACTCCTGGGCTCAAGCCATCCTCCCACCTCAGCCTCCCAAAATGCTGGGATTGCAGGTGTGAGCCACCACAGGCGGCCTGAGATTTGATTTGCTTTGCACCAGCCTTGTGGGTCTGGCATGTATTCTGCCTCCACAACGCCTTCCGGTTTGGACTCGCCACATTTCAAGTGCTCAGGGCTGCCCGTGGCCACGGGAAGGCCTCCCCTCGAAGAAGCCCTTGTCTGGGTTACATGTTATTCTAGCAATTTATTTAATAAGTGGCGCGAGTGATGTTGTGGTGAAGGAAAGTGAGCAAGGGCAGAAGAACAAATGATCAGGGGCGGGTCTTGGGTGCAAGCATGCTAGCCGTCCACACTGGGACCCCCGGCCACACAGCGGGGTGGCCTGGTAGGATGGTTGAGGAACTTCCGTCTGCGGCCATCCCACCCTGAGCGCGGCGGGGTCTCCTCTGGTCTGGGAAATGAAGCAGGATCCAGAAACGCCCCACGCTTCCCTCCCCTTTACAGCCCAGGTCCCTGCAGAAAGGCCAACCCTGGTTGACTCTTTTCAATAGAGGCAGGGGAGCGTGAAGAGTGTGTGGATAGGGCAGGTGCGTGGCTCATGCCTGGGATCCCAGCTCTTTGGGAGGCCGAGGTGGGAGGACAGCTTGAGCCCGGGAGTTTGAGACCAGCCTGGGCAACATAGTGAGACCCCATCTCTACAAAAAAATTTAAAAAATTAACTGGGTGGAGTGGTGCACACCTGTAGTCCCAGCTACTCAGGAGGCTGAGGCGGGAGGATCTCCTGAACCAGGGAGGTCAAGATTGTCCTGAGTCATGGTCATGCCACAGCACTCCAGCCTGGGCGACAGAGTGAGACCCCCAACTCAAAAAAAAAAGTGTGGACAGAACTGGGGAGGATTTGTGTCAAATGCCGCTGACATGAGAGGGCCCAGTACAGAACCCTGGGGAGTGCACGCACTCGGGGAGGAAGCCAAGCCCATGTGGTGAGCCCTGCCCATTTCTGAAGCCGGGAGCCCACGGAAGACACAGGGGAGCCCACACATGTGGCTTCTGCTGGGGGTGACCCTCACCTCCCTTTGCCCATTCCGTGGGCTTCCCTCGGGTCTGAGGGGCAGAGCTGCAGGGGGAACTTTGGAGCCTGCTTGGCTCAGCCCTAGCTGGGACCTCAGCTGTGTGTGTGAGACCTGGGGTGTCTGGCCTTTGCTTGGGAAGCTCTTGAGAGGGACTTCCTTGGCACGGACCACCCCAGGACCACCCCCGGGCAGTGGCGGGAAGCATGTGGTCAGCCGTGGGCCAGGCATGCAGACTCCAGCCTGCAGGAAACACTCAAGTGCCCATATCACACCGCTTTCACCCTTTTCTCTTGCATTTATTAACAATGACCCAGTCTGGGTGTGGGGACAGCTGTCCTGTGACCAGCATGTGTCATTCTCACATCAAACCGTCCAGCCCTTGGCAGGTGCCTCATCTTGTCTCTGTCTTTCTGCCTTTTTCAGGCCGAGGAGTCTTGCAAATGTAATGGCTGGAAAAACCCCAACCCCTCACCCACGCCCCCCAGAGCCGACCTGCAGCAGATCATTGTGAGCCTGACGGAATCCTGCCGCAGCTGTAGCCATGCCCTAGGTGAGTTCCCTGTTGTAGACACCCCTGGGGGGTTCTCCATCCCAGACTCGCCCTAGGTGAGCCCTCCTTCACAGCCGCCCCAGGTGAGCTCTGATCGTCAGGGAGCCTGGAACACGCTCCTTGCCACCTGAGAGTCTTCGCTTACTGAACTCTGCAGGCCAAGCCGATTTGCATGCTGCTACCCCTCTCTGAGGCCAGCGACAAAGGGTCTCTCGGGTCCCAGGCATTCACCAGGAAGGGCTTCGTGGGAGAGACAGACCCTGTGCTCTTTGCCCTGGCTCCGTATTCATCCTGTCTCGCTTTCTGTGGGAGCTGGGAGAACGGGACACTGATTGCCCACCATGATGAAATGTGACTTTTGAGCCCGTTGGAATGAACAATGGGTATCACGTCCTGATTTATTCTGATGGAGGGCCTGGGAGGTGTCCTTGACCCCAGGTGGAAACCTCAACCAGTTGGTCTTTGTTTAGTGAGAATCATTACCGTTATTATTATTTCTGATTCCTGAACTTTATGGGGCTGCTTTATTTTATCTTTATGTTCCTTAGTTTGGCATATCTGAAAGTCCTTTCTTTCTTTCTCTCTCTTTTATTTTTGAGACGAGGTCTCGCTATGTTGCCCAGACTGGTCTTGAACTCCTGGGTTCAAGCAATCCTCTGGTCTCTGCCTCCCAGAGTGCTGGGAAATACAGCCGTGAGCCACCCTGCCTGGCTGAGAGTTTCTTCCTGTTAACAAACAGTGCAGCATCCATCTCCAGGGTCAGCATGGTGTTAGGTCGTCTGAGAGTTTATTTTGTACTCAGTTGGAGAGTATTTCAATATTTACAGGGCAAAAAAAGCAGATAGTGTGATCGTCCCCAAAAGCCACCGCGCTGGAGTAACCTTCTGAAAAAGGAAATGGAGAGCACTGATCTCACAAAAGAAATAGACATAGGAATCATCGCATCGTTGTGTTGATTTAATTGATGTCTGAAATATTGTCAACTCTGAGTTTTGAAATGGCGAGTACAAAGGAAAAATTCCAGGCTCGGGCCTGGTGGCTCATGCCTGTCATCCCAGCACTTTGGGAGGCCAAGGTGGGAGGATCGCTTGAGCCCAGGAGTTCAAGACCAGCCTGGGCAACATTGTAAGATCTCATCTCTACAAAAAAATAAAAAAATTAGCTGGGCTCAGTGGTGTGCCTGTAGTTCCATTGACTCAGGAAGCTGGGGTTGGAAGATCCCTTGAGCCCAGTGTGTCGAGGCTGTGGTGAGTGTGATCGCTCCACTGCGCTCCAGCCTGGAGACAGAGTGAGACTATGACTCAAAACAAAACCAAACCATTTTCTTATTTAAACTGGACAGAGTATTTATCTGTCATTCAAAGTGTTGCTACTAACAACAACAGCTAATAATCATGCATTTATGTGCCCAGCACAGTTCTAAGATTCTTGTGTCATCTTATTTAACTAACCTCACAAGGATCCCATGAGATAGATACCATTGCATATTCACCCATTTCAGAGTTGAAAAAATGAGGTCAGGCAGATGAAGCAACGTGCCCCTACTCACAACTATGGGTTGGTAGAACCGGGATTTGATCTCGGGCTGGTGGATCCAATAATTTAGTCCTGAATTATAAAACCTCCAATCAAGCTGCTTTGTGACCTGCTCTCTTCATTAATAATATGTTAAAACCCACCAGGTGGTTCCCCAACCTTCTGAACTGCAGCTGGGTGTCCCGTGGTTCAGTTCCATTCTGACACTGACCACCTGAAGAGAGCGTCACGTCCCTGGGGGAGGGCTCCGTCTCCCAGGACCATTTCCACCGCAGAAGCCTATCGCAAGCCTGGGTTGTGACCTGTGCTTCTGACCGACTGGCTAGAAATCGGGGTCCCCTCTTCCTCTCCGCGTACCTTGGTTTCCATAACTTGCTGGGATGACTGACCGAACTCAGGGGATCCCTGCTTGGGTGTGCTGACTTATTTTGAAGGACACAGATGGATGGCCAGATGCAAAGATGATGCAAAGGTTGGGGGAAGGAACTTTGTGCCTTCCCTTCCAGCACCCTGGAATCTTGTCAGGTCTCCAGCTGGGATTTTTTATAGAGCTTAATCTCCACACCCTCACTTTACCCTTTCCTGGAAGTTGGGCTGAAAGTTCCAATCCTCAAATCACTCGGCCTTTCTGGTGGCCAGTTTCATCCTGGGCTGTCTGGAGGCCCCACTTTGAGTCTATGAGCATCAACTCAGGTGTGACCAGAAGGGGCCCATCAAAAGCTACGCCTCTTACTCCGGAAATTCCAAGGGTCTTAGGAGTGGGGGACAAAGACCAGATATTTTACATATGACACCTCAAACAGGCTTTCTAAATTTTCTCTTGCTGTTTTCTAATTATTTATCTGTTTGATTCTTTTCAAACTTTAAAAAAATTTTTTTTTGAGTCAGGGTGTCACTCTGTTACCTTGACTAGAGTGCAGTGGCATGATCTCAGCTCGCCACAGCCTCGACCCGCTGGGCTCAGGCGATCCTCCCACCTCAGCCTCCCTAGTACCTGGGACTACAGGCACATGCTGCCACACCTGACTAATTAAAAAAAATTTTTTAGAGTCGAGGTCTGGCTATGTTGCCCAGGCTGGTCTCAAACACCTCGGCTCAAGCAATCCTCTTGCTTTGGCCTCCCAGAGTGCTGGGATTACAGGCATGAGCCACTGTACACAGTATTTTTTTTCAAACATATATTTTAATATATATGATCAGGAAAAGGTCTAGAAGGATGTCTAATGAGTTGCTGACAGAGATTTTCTCAGGGTACAGGCGCTCTAGGTGTTTTAAAAATACTTTCCCCTCCTCCCTACTTTCTTCCTGTTTCTTCTGTTTTTTTAGTCTGCTTTCTTAAAACTGAAATGTCTGCACATTTTCAAGTGCTCTTGAAATGAGTGCTGGAATGCCAGTTTCTTCACTGGTCTTAGTGTGAGAGCTCTAGAAAACCTTTTTCTGAGACTTCTCCTCCTTCTTTCTCTCTTTCCCTGTTTTTTTTAAAAAAAGTTTTTATTATGGAAAGTTTCAAACACACGTAAAGGCAGAAAGAATAGTTTAACAAATTGTCTTGTGCCTGTGACTCAGCTCTAAAGATTATTTGCCAATTTTATTTTATCTAACTCCTCCTGTCTTTTTTTTTGGCCAGCGTGTTTTTAGCGAGTTGCAGACATTTAGACTTATCTCATTCGTACAGCTTACTTTTTTTTTTGTAATTTATTTATTTTTGTTTTTTAATAGAGATGAGGTCTTGTTATGTTGCCCAGGCTGGTCTTGAACTTCTGGGACCAAGCAATACTCTCACCATGGTCTCCTAAAGTGCTGGGATTACAGGCATGATCCAATGTACCCAGCTCAGACTACTTTTTAATTTTTTTTTTTTTTTTTTGAGTCAGTGTCTCACTTTGTCACCCAGGCTGGAGTGCAGTGGCATGCTCACAGCCACTGTGGCCTTGACCTTCCGGGCTCAGGTGATCCTTCCATCTCAGCCACTACAGCCACCCACCACCATGCCTGGCTAAACTTTTTAATTGTTACCCACAAAGCAGAGGTTGACATCTAGGGAACTCTGACTGGAATCATGGCAGCCTGAATTCTCAGACACATTTCAATTCTCAGAACAACACTGTTCTGTTTTCACACACAGTTATCACCATTCTGAGCATGGTTGATTTAGTCACCTGTAAATTGTGCACGTGTCAACATGTAATTGACTTGCCAAAAGAAAACATTCTGGCTTATTGATTGAGATGGCATCAGTTGTGTTGGTTAGATGTTGGGTATCTTTTGCCTCATCCATATACACTTTCTTTTCAGGGAGTTATGGTTTTAAATGGTCTCCTGACAATTGCTTTCATTCCAGACCTCCTTGGTCTGCTGTTCCTTGATACCATTCTGTGTCTGGTAGGCATAAAATGCAGGAGTGAGATGTTCTGATCCAGTGGAAAGAATACTCAGCTGGCAGTTAGGAAATAAGAATTCTAACCTGGCTGGGTATGGTGGCTCATGCCTGTGGTCCCAGCTATTCGGGAGGCTGAGGCAGGAGGACCACCTGAGCCCAGGACTTCGAGACTGCAGTGAGCTATGATCAGGCCGTTGTACTCCAGCATGGGTGACAGAGTGAGACCTTGTCTCTAAAAATAAAACACAAAACACAAAGAAAGAATTCTAGCCTGGTCCTGAAGTTTACCAGCCCTTAATCTTTCTGTGGTTCAGTGTCTCCACCCACAAAACGGTCAGTCTAGACCTGGTTTGTACTGTCCAGAAGCAACGAGCTGCAGTGATTTATGAGCTAAACCGAATCACATGTCCACGACACACCAGCTTTTGAAGAGCTTGCATGCAAAAACAGTGCAAAACATCTCATTGATGATTCTTTACATTGACTACCTGTTAAAATGATATTTTGAATATGCTGGTGTAATGAAATGTATCATTAAATTTAATTGTTTTTACTAGAAAATTTAAAATTGCATATGGCTGACTTTTCATTTCTTTTCTTTTGTTTTTGAGTGGAAGTCACAGTCACAGCTTACTGTAGTCTTGACCTCCTGGGCTCAGGCGATCCTCTCATCTAAGTCTCCCAGGTGGCTGGGACCACAGGCGTGTGCTACCATGCCTGGCAAATTTATTTTATTTTACTTTTTTGTAGAGACAGGGAGGTCTCGCCCTGTTCCATACTGGCCTTGAAACCCTAGGCTCAGGCAATCCTTTCACCTCCATCTTCCAAAGGCCTGGATTGTAGGCATGAGCCACCGCACCCAACGTATTATTACAATTGATTGTTTGTACTACAAAATTTAAAATCACACAGATGATTTACATCCTATTTCTGTTGTTTAGTGCTGGCTCTGAACAGGCTAGTCCATTCTCTGAAATTATTTGGTATTTAGAATTTGGTATAATCAAATTCAATTTATAAAAATCTGTCAAATGGTCACAAGAAAGCACTTTGGTTGGCCTCAACATTTCTCCTGATTTTAGTA